GGTGGCCGGCCCCTCTTCTGGTCAAGTAATAAATGTGTCGTCGGTTGTTTTTTTGTTTAAAAAAAGGGGTGGCTCCTCACTGTGACTCAAAAGTCTGTTGACAGAAGCTGGCGGTAAGCACAGGGCAGTGCAGCCATGCGGCTTTTTACGGCACAAGGGGAAGTCAACAGGTGTGTTTTCTGCTTCCAGAATCCAGACGATGTGATGCCAATTGCTACCGTTTTCCCACGAATATAACACATATGCGTTGTATTCGAGTTTTCGAAAAACATTGATGACTCGATTTTACACGTGTTGTACTCGAACATAAGGTTATTCAAATAGAATGCGCATGAGTTGTATTCGAATAGAAAGCAACCTATGCATCGTATTCGTTTACAATGCACACATGTTACAAAGCACATGTGTTTTATTTGAATAGAAAGCAACCAATGCGGTGTATTCGTTTACAACGCCTATGCTTTATGTTCGGGGGAAGATGGTAGTCTTTGACACTGAGGAGGCATTGAGTACAAGAGAAAGGCGTGTATGTGAGGTTGTCATGTCACCACTTACATGGAGAGAGCTCTACTGCCTTGCATCCTCTACAAGTTTGCAAGAGGTACTGGGATGAACTACTGCCACAAAGCGACCTTGAGTGTTGAGTATTTATGATCTATGGATTCTATGCCATTGAATGAACAAATGGTCTCATCAGTGCCAGAAATTCTGAGAAAAAAAAGCGATTATCCAGGGCAACTCCGAGAGAACTGCGTCATTGGTGATGCAGTACCGCCATGTGATTGCCATCACCATCTGTAGCAAAAAGGACAATTGCCAGCTATGAAGGCCGAGAGAGAAAAGATAGAAAAGAAGGAAAGAAAGAGATGAGAAAGAGAGGACGAAGGTCATGCCGGGGGAAACGTTGGAAGAACAATTCTACCAGCTACAGGGGGCCATCAAAGTTGTCAGGTGAGCAGTAAGCTCCACATTGTCCATCTGACCAAATTATTGCACCCCTAGTTATTGACAGGGAGGGGGTTAGTTCAGGGGCACCAGCCGCACAGCACTGAAATTATTTCACGATGGCGCGTCCATTATTGATGCAATTATCGTTGTCACGCACACGCGGACACACACACACACACACACACACACACACACACACACACACACACACACACACACACACACACACACACACAGAGAGAGAGAGA